CTGCTCAGCGTGACTACGAGCTTCACTCTCTTGACTTCAGTACAGCCTTCTTACAGGGCAGCTTGCACGAGGAGATCTGGCTGCGCCGCCCTCCTGGCTTCACTGGGTCGTTCCCTCTCGGTACCCAGTGGAGCCTCCGGCGGCCGGTCTACGGTCTCCGCCAGGCGCCACGTGAGTGGCACGACACACTGAGGACGACACTGCCTGTCTTCAAGGCTCGTTACGTGGCTCGAGGCTTCAGTCAGCGAGAGGGAGTTGACTTCTTCCAGACCTTCTCCCCCACCCCGAAGATGACCACTCTTCGGGTGTTGCTGTACGTTGCTGCTCAGCGTGACTACGAGCTTCACTCTCTTGACTTCAGTACAGCCTTCTTACAGGGCAGCTTGCACGAGGAGATCTGGCTGCGCCGCCCTCCTGGCTTCACTGGGTCGTTCCCTCTCGGTACCCAGTGGAGCCTCCGGCGGCCGGTCTACGGTCTCCGCCAGGCGCCACGTGAGTGGCACGACACACTGAGGACGACACTTGCGGCTCTTGGGTTTGCTCCGTCGACTGCTGACCCGTCGCTGTTTCTGCGCACCGACACTTCGCTGCCGCCGTTCTACATCCTCGTGTACGTCGACGACTTGGTCTTTGCCACTGCTGACACTGAGGCTCTCGCCCTGGTGAAGTCGGAGCTGCAGAAGAGACACACGTGCACAGACCTGGGTGAGCTGCGCAGCTATCTTGGCTTGCAGATCATCCGGGACAGAGCACGCCGCACCATCACACTGACTCAGTCACACATGGTGCAGCAGGTCCTTCAGCGCTTCGGCTTCACCTGGTCCTCAGCACAGGCCACTCCTCTGGCTACAGGTCACTCGCTCTCAGCTCCACCTTCGGACGAGTCCGTAGAGCCGAGTGGTCCTTACCCAGAGCTAGTGGGTTGCCTCATGTACCTGATGACCTGCACTCGTCCTGACCTTGCGTACCCTCTTGGCCTTCTGGCTCGCTACGTGGCTCCTGGTCGGCACCAAAAGGTGCACATGGATGCTGCTAAGAGGGTACTACGCTACTTGTGCAGTACATCGGGCATGGGGCTCGTGCTTGGAGGACGGGGTGACGTTGTCCTCACTGGTCACTCGGACGCCTCTTGGGTTGACGACCAGGCTACGCAGCGGTCGTCACAGGGTTACACCTTCAGCCTTGGTTCTGGTTCAGTTTCCTGGCGTTCTACACGTTCGTCTTCAGTTCTCGGCTCCAGCTGTGAGGCCGAGATCTACGCCACAGCCATGGCTGCACAGGAGCTACGCTGGCTCACCTACCTGCTGACCGACTTGGGAGAGCGGCCTCGTTCTCCTCCAGTGCTGTACGTCGACAACAAGGCCGCCATTGCCTTGTGTCAGGAGCACAGACTGGAGCACAGAACGAAGCACATCGCTCTGCGTTACTTCCTTGCTCGAGAGCTGCAGCAGCGTGGTCAGCTTCGTCTTACTTACGTGGCCACTCGGGCCAACACTGCTGATATATTCACCAAGGCGTTTCCGCCTGGTGATCATCAGCGTTTCTGCACTTTGTTAGGCCTTGTGCCCACGCTTCCCCACTTACTGTTGGCTTTGTTTGTACTGTGATCTATATGTATACTTGCATGCTTGCTCTTGTAGGTAGAGATCACAGTGCTGTTGTTGTTTCATATGTATCTCTGCTTGTGACTTGGCCTTATGGCCTTTTTGCTTGTGCTCAGACTGCGTGGTGACGTTGTGATCCACCCTGAGCTTGCTTTGCATTTCCTGACTGGTCTTGTGACCCTCTGTTCTCCCCCACTTTGCCTATGGGGGTGTGTCAAACATATATCTATGTTTTGGACTTGGGTAGGCTGTAGTGGGGTACTCACTGTAGAGTACAACCCCTTAGGGTTTTCCTTCTTGTATCATTCTCATCTTAGTAAACATCATCCTTGCCTTAGCCTGGATACTTCTCAGCATCACACCACCACCAGTCAAAACAGCAACAAATCGCAGCACAAGACACACAACCCGAGGATCCTCCCAAGCCATGACGTACTAGCAAAAAGGTCCTCATTAGTATCATGGCCCCTTGTGTAATGAGACATCTCAAGACAATTCACTGTACAACACTCGCAACACGAGGATCCTCCTCCAGAACCACAACATCGTAGCCAAAAAGGTCCTCATTAGGATCACTCCCCTCTTGTGCCGCAGCCGCTGCCAATGGCGATTGTTTACCTTCAGTCTTTGACGCTCCATCTGCGTCATTTCCATCGCCGCCCACTTTCCTCCCATTCCTTCCTGCATCATACTGCTTCTTTGTGTGGGTGACGTTCCGTGATATCACCGCTTGCACCCGTGGCATGCGGATGGATTGGAAGGAGCGAAGAGCGTCACTGGATAGGATGAGAATGGGTTATGGCCAGGGCAAAGGGCAGTTATTAGGGATGAGAATGGATAATAGCCAGGGAGAGACAAGGCAAAAGAGGGGGGGTGGGAGGGCAAGACGAAGGGAGGGAGAGAAGGAGGGTGAGTGGACGAAAAATCATGGGAATGCACCATGGCGCAATGGAAACAATGGGAACACCCAGCATGTGATAATTAATCACCTAATGCGAAAATAATGGCATGCCATTAAACCCACCCGCCATGCGACTACACCCACCTGACAACCTACCTGACAACCCACCTCACAAATTCAGCACCCTCCTCACAAATGCAGCACCCTCCTGAGAAATGCAGCACCCACCTGACATGGGTCTTTCCCCGGAGGCACTCGACCAGCTGAGCCGCATCCTCAAACGCCAGATTGGCGCCCTGCCCCAGCCCTGGCGTCACTGCATGCGCCGCATCTGGACACACAGGTGGGAGGGCAGAGGGCAGGGGGGAAAGGAAGAGGGCAGAGCAAGGAAGGCAGGGGGTAATACAGGGAAGGTAGAGAGCAGTGCAGGGAAGGCAGAGGGCAGCGCAGGGAAGGAAGTACAGATATCAAAATGGGAACCAAGAAGTGAAGAAGATTGGCCCCTTGCCCCAATGCAATCAACTACGGATGGTACCGGAATGTGGTGGTACAGAAACTGCATTCGCAAATTGTTTCGAACTTTTTCATGTCGGATTCGAAACTGAGAACTAGCTCCAGCATCAAGAGGACCAACACGACCAGAAGCAATGCCACGAGCACCAAATGTTTTACGTCGGATTCGACGTGGAGAACTAGCTCCCGCATCAAGAGGACCTAACATCTCCTGCAGCAGCAGCAGCGCCACCAGCAGCTCCGTGAGCAGCACATTGAGCACAAGAGCACCAGTAGATGTCGGTTTCAAAAGCAAGATTCTTGAGCGAGTTTCTGGATGTAGCTTTCGTCTTTTGGTAATCTGAGAAAGTAGCTTCTGTAGTACCCCATGCTGCTAACATTCATAGTCGAATGAAAATTTATTTACTGTTTCAAGGAAAAGGAACGTTGCAACACAGTCTCTCCCAGGAGTACCCGTACCTTCCAGGGGTGCCGTACCTCCCAGGAGTACCCGTACCTTCCAGGAGTGCCGTACCTCCCAGGAGTACCGTACCTTCCAGGGGTGCCGTACCTCCCAGGAGTACCGTACCTTCCAGGGGTGCCGTACCTCCCAGGAGGAGTACCCGTACCTTCCAGGGGTGCCGTACCTCCCAGGAGTACCGTACCTTCCAGGGGTGCCGTACCTCCCAGGAGTACAGTACCTTCCAGGAGTGCCATACCTCCCAGGAGTGGCATACCTCCCAGGACAACCGTACCTCCGAGGAGAGCCGTCCTCCCTTTGACCCAGAAGGGCAGGGGCGGGAGGTCGAGCACGCGGCGTTCAAGGATGAGGTCGGGGGGAGTGGCCTTGACCACCTGCTCCACCACATCCCACCCCTCAAACGCCCGAAGAATCTTCTCCCGCACCTCCTCCCCCCCCTTGGATCGTACGCTGCTGACCGTCGGATCGGCGGAATCAATGAGTGTACACGCCCAGAAGAGTTTGCCTGCTCCACAGTCGGCGGCGGTTGCAGTGCGGTTGACACCGAGTATTGTATTTACCTGACGTGGCTGCACCAGCTGCAGTAAGGGAAGGGAAGGCCGGGAAAGTGAAGGCCGGGAAAGTGAAGGCCGGGAAAGTGAAGGCCGGGTACGGGATAATCAACCAGACAGGGCGTGCCTGCTCCACAGTCGGCGGCGGTTGCAAAACCATAAGTAGCTGTGCAGAGTAATTTCATTAATTCTAAACAATTATTGAGAATTCTCAAATCAATCCGTATGTGTTGTGGCTGCAGCTGCTGCCAGAAGGAAGGCCGGGAAAGAAGGGAGAAGGAAAGAATGGGAGATAGTCTAGCCAGCATAGCCCGCCGGCTCTACCTACTAACTTTTGAGTCGACTCAAAAGTCAAGAATGGGAGGATAGTCTACCGGCACAGAGACGTGTAACTGGATACCAAGGGGCACACACAGGGTGGGGGAGGAGGGGCACGTACAGGGTGCAGGCAGAGGGGCACATACAGGGTGCGGGCAGAGGGGCACATACAGGATGCGGGCAGAGGGGCACGTACCGGGTGCAGGCAGATGGGCACGTACAGGATGCGGGCAGAGGGGCACGTACAGGGTGCAGGCAGAGGCTGCTGTCGATGATGGCCCTCCAGATGGTTCTACCGTTGTCTCGCGCACTCACTCCCTCGCCTGCTGCCCCGCTCAGCAGATGCTTCCGTGCCTCCGAGTGAATGCCGTCTGCCCCCAGCAGCAGCGGGGTCTGGAGGACGGGGGGGGAAAGAAAGGAAGGGGCGAAGAATGGTGTCATCACCCCTCATCATCACCCCACACACCCTTTGCCATGGCCAATGACAAGACACCGAGATGATATTACTTGTCACCTCCCCCCACCCCACCCTTGGCCCTCAACCCACCCTTCCCTCCCTTTCCCCCACTCCGCCATCCCCTCCCCACGTCTCATCCTTAACACAAAACCATCCCCCACCTTCCTCCCCTCTCCACCTCCCATTTCCCACTCACCTCCACCTCCAAAAACCGCTCTTCACCGCCCGAAACCTTCTTAAAAACGCATTTCACTGCGCTGCTCCCCTCTTCCTCCTCTCCCTGTGTAAACTCCACGAGCCTGTGCCCGGTGTGGACGGCATCGTTTGGCAGCATTCCCCGCAGCACATCGAGCACCTCTTGCCAGTGGATGCAGAGCATGGGGAAGCCGTAGCGGGCAGTGATGCTGGACGCGGGCTCAAACCGGAAGAGGATATCACCCGTTGGAGTGCGGTTGAAACCGATGGGGTCCGGTACTCCACGGGAAATCAGCTGAGAGAAAGCAGAGACGAATGAGAATGGGCCAAGGGAAGGGAAGGGAAGGGAAGGGAAGGGAAGGGAAGGAAGGGAAGGGAAGGAAATGGAAGGGAAGCGAAGGGAGACAAGCAATAGCGGATGGTGAGCATGGGGAAGCTGAACTGCAGGGCATGTTGCACAAGAGGTTTCTCCCGGGAAAGGAGGTCGCTAGTTTCAGAGGGTTGAGTCAGGTTGGTTTCGATACTCCACGGGATATTAATGGAGGGAAAGAGGAGATGGGGAATTACATAAATCGAGGAGACAGGAAAACCGTGGAAACAGGAGGAAGTGAGAAAACAGGAGAGCAATGATGCACAGCACAGCTATTACCGGCTACCATGTGCATGCATCAGCAGCATCACACGGAGCCATAACCATCACATGCCTGGGGCACAATGGCAGGGTCGATTCTGCTGAGTGCCCTGAGCCCGTTGGGGAAGAGGGTGAGGAGGGTTCCCCCGTCTATCACCTCGTCCCGTGCCTCGTATACCTGCACGTGGGGATGCGCATGAGGCACGAGGCATGCTGCATGAGGCATGGAAGAGTTCGAGACGTCTCAAATCCCTCTCCTCGCACCTCTTCCCATGCCTCGTATACCTGCACTGCACATGGGATGGATGGTATTCAAAGCGTGGGAGGCGTCTATGCAACGACATATATCTACAGGACAGGAAAGGCGCACAGACATTACCATTTGCAGTCACAGCGCACGACCAGAAGCACGAAAAACGTGTTATATGCAATGGTGACATGTTACATGCAATGGTTACATGGAATAACGAACCAGTCTGCATTTGAAGCATGAACCTCAAATTGCAACAGGCAGACACAACGGGAATATAACAACGAAGGATCAAGCAATAGAAAACAGGTCGGTTACGGTAACAATGCATAATAATATCTAGCTATTCGCATAAATCTAACAACCTTACCTACTTCCAGATCTTTTACGGTTTACCTGATTCCAGTACCTTTCCCTGATTCCAGCGCTTTTTTCCTGATTCTGGCGTTCTTACCTAACTCCAGCTTCCAGATAACATCCCACCTGCGCGTCAATCCCAATGTTCCGGAGGCCAATAGCAGTTGCGAGGCCGGCCAATCCTCCACCCACAATCACTGCCTCCGACACTGCTGCCCCCCCTGTGCTCTTGCTGCTCGCGGAATCAGCAGGAGAAGACACAGAGGCAACAGCACCCCTCCAACAGCCTCCACGATTGACATTGCGAGCCCCAGACGACCCCGTCGGCGCAAAAAAATGTTCTTTAGAGGTAGAGAGGCTGCTCAACAGGCTGTTACTGGTACTGCTGCTAACGGAGAAGCTTTTACCGACGCTTCCAGGCGCGCGACACTCAGCATGTGAGCCTGAGGCTCGTTGCTTGAAACGAATTAGCTGATAACGCGGGTTCCTGCTCAGAGACGGTGACGCTGTACTCCGCTGGTTCACGAGATGGAGGGTTGAGATGCGTGATACTCCCGGAACGGCCGACACGATATGGGACACGGAGGCCATTCCGAAGAGTTGGATTTTTATGGTGCCAGCAAAACCGAAGACCTCAAGCCGTTCAGTTTGGTACTATCAAGGAAGCACGAATACTCGGTCACTGATTGGTGAAAAAGGCCGAAAAGAACTGCCGTGGATGATTCCAGAAACTATAGCGATTCCAGAATCAGTTCATTTGAGGGCTTGAGAAATCTGTGGCTGCTATTTGCGCGAATTCAGTCCAGCGGGCTTTGATTCTTAAGTACTATATCCCGGAATGCGGGCAGACCAAAAAGGCGGCAGGATCGGTAGGAACGCTTTTCGAGCCAAGCCCGCATCTAGACAGTCCGCTTTGTTCGCCGTTGCAGGTCCAATCTCCTCCTTCCATCTCCAGTGTTGCGAGTTGGAACAGCTTCTGTCAGGATATGTGTGGGATGTGGAGTGAAGCCATTTTGCCTGGAATTCGGGACACCAGGCCTGTCGCTACAAGGGATTTTTTCCTTTTTACCCTTGAATTCAAGTGCTGGTTCGGGCCCAACTCAGAGAATTCAAGGGCTGGCTTTGAGGCCAGTCCGTTTTCCTTACGGGCTGGTTTACCGTCTAGCCCGGATTCACGTATACGCTCAGAGCCCTAGCTTACCACCATCCCCCTCGTTTCCATTGATGTCCCCTGCTTAAGTAGAACCTCCATACCTTCTCCCCCACCAGTTGCATGGTAGATCAGCTGATTGATCTCCTTTGTACCGCAGCCCTTACGTGTATTTGAATATCATCTACTTTCACGATGTGTTAACGCTCAAGCGCAGAAGGATGTGTAGCCCTGGATCGAAGTGTTAAAATCTGACTCAACCCGGAAAAATAAGGGCTGAATTAAGGGCACCTCAGCCCGCTAAGTTTTGGGCCCAGAGCAAGCGACAGCCCTGCTGGACACCCTTGGGTTCAGTTCAACATGGTTTCTCGTCCGTTCGCCATAGCTACCGGTATGAGAGGTTGGCTTGGCTTGGCTTGGCTTGGCAGGCTCCAAGCCGAGTCAGAACCTGTGGTTCCGATCTGTGGCTGGAACATCCTTCGATCTGGCTTGTTTGCTTCGGAAAAACCAGGCCAACCAAACCGTGGTTCGGAACCTGGGGCATTACTGCTGGGGCAGGTTCACCAACATCGAGCCTACTGACGTTTGCAGTCAGCCACGTGGCTCGATGGTACCCATCGGATCTTGCTGGTCACCATCGACTCTCCGTGAATTTCCTAACTGGTACCTCAACATTTCAACCGCACAGTACACCACATGACTGTCCTTTTGCAGCCTACTCTGTACAGTTATTGTTTTGTAGTTAGCAACTCTTACACCAATATTGCAGGTGATTTTTGAAAACCTTCAGCAATTCTGATTTGCTTCAGATATGCCTGCTGTTTCCTGGAATAGCTGGGCTGGGTCGGGTCGGGGGCAGTTAGGTGTGGGACCACGGGTGCTTACGTGGGTGTGAGCACTCTACACAGACTGAGTCGAAGTGGAAAGGACAGAGGGAAATATGTATGGCAAGCAAAAAAATATACCAGAGTTATGTGGCAAAATGTGTTGCCTCACTGCAGCAACACGACAGACTCACGTGGAAAGCATAGAGTGCCTTGTCAGCATCACATGAGGCGCATTCAAGTGCATCATTGCGGATTTGTGAATGCACACCAAATCAGAGGATAGCACTTGCAACTCAAGGATCCTCTTCTAGAACCACAATGTCATTGTTGAGAGATAAAGGTCTCTTAGCATTTCTGAAATTCGCAGTTAGACTATACAGTAGTGAAACAGTACAATAGTGGGTCCCGAACTTGATGACGTCAGCATCAGGCCCTCAGATTCACTTTTAGGGTCGTCAACCCATCAGGGCCCCCCTGTGTGTAAACTCTGATTGACAGTGTTCCAAAAAAAAAAGCCTGAAATGTCAGTGTTGCGTTTGTAAAAAGCCTGATGCATCAGTGTAGCACTAGTAAAAAGGTTGTCACTAACGCGTCGCATGTGATGGCAACGGGGCAGGATCCTTGGCAGCCCTCCAGCACCACATGGTGGCCACGTTCGGATTGGCCAAGACTGACTGCTGCAGCGAAACGGCCCAATGGTGTGAGGCGCCGCGCCAACAAAACACCTCTGAACGTGAACCAGAGGCAGAATTTCACAGGTTGGCCTCGCCACAGGGTGCTTACACCTCGGGAATCTGAGATTCCCTGTAATTGCGGTCACATGGCACAGGTAAGAATCGCTTCAGTGTTGGTTTCGTTACAACGTTGTGGCATCAGTGTCCTAGGGGAAAAAAGTCTGAAATTTCAGTGTGGCCTAACAAAAAAGGCTGAAAGACCAGTCCCTAAAAAATCTCAACACTGATTTTTCAGGGTAGGTAAAAAAAGGACTGCCAAAATCAGGAATTTCAGGGTTTTTTTCCTGATATCTGAGGCCCTCAGCATTCGGATTCAGCTGACTAGTCAAAGTAGCTCTAGGCCTAGGTCAACAAACAGCCACTTTCATTAGTGTCTACAGGTCAACACCCCTAGAGTGACGAATAGATACATTCGGCTACAGTATACGAACGTGTACTTTACTATAGCTATATATTCTGTATGCTTGTCACTTTATAATATATCTGATTCCAGAGACATAGATCCTGAAACATATCACTACATGGGCTTATATTAGTCTAGACAAAGCCTCATACAACTGGCTTTAACTCATACAAGACTTCCACTGCCAATACTCAGTCTTTAATCCAAGATACTACGATCCTGAAAATGGCTTCGTCCCTTAACCGATTCTACGGGTTTCCAACCCATTCCATCATGGTATGAGAGCAGTTTTGGATTAAGACAACTCTCAACTACGCTTCCAACATACAAGAATGGCTGCAGCAGCAGTCAATAATGGTGTACCCGCACAAGACCATCAACAAGCACATCAGCAAACTGCTATGAGCTTTGTCAAAGTGACCAAAATCAAGACGACAACACTATTTGACGGCAAGGATTTCTATACCTGGAGTTTTGAATTCGAGCTTCTTGTGAAGGCTGTTGGCATGTGGCACCTCTTCGATGGTTCTTCACCATTTCCTGCCAATGACACACTAATGCAACAGCAGAGATTCACGAGTGAGTCACTAACAGCATATACTATTTTGATTCGCAACTTGACAGCCATGGAGCAGCTGGGCATCCGATCGTTTAACACCGGCAACTCACCTACTGAAGCCGCCTGGAGTTACCTGCAAAACCTCTACATGGGGAGAGAAGCAATTTCTGAAAGCAAGATTTTATCCCAGCTCGCCAACATCCAGATGCAGCCAGGCGAGAAAGCGTCAACATACATCAACAGGAGCAGAAATTTAAGGGATCAACTGTGTGAAGAAATGAGGAATGAATGAACTAGCACAAGATTGGGTACAAGTAGGAAACCCTAGGAAACTGTACCCCATAGTGTCTACCCCACTATAGCCTAGACAAGCTATATGATAAATGTTTGACATACCCCCATAGGCAAGGTGGGGGAGAACAAGGGGTCACAAGACCAGTCAAGCAAAGCAAAGCAAGCTCAGGGTGGATCACAACGTCACCACACAATCCGAGCACAAGAGCAAGGCCACAAGGCCAGTTCACATGCAAGATCATATATAAAGGTAAACAGGCAAGTACAGGTATAGAAAGATCACAGTACAAGCAAGGTCAAGAAGTGAGCAAGTGAGGCCAAGTAGGCACAAGACCTAGCATCGTATAGAAGCGCTGATGATCACCAGGCGGAAGTGCCTTGGTAAAGATATCAGCAGTGTTGGCCTCAGAGGCCACGTAAGCAAGGCGCAACTGACCACGCTGCTGCAGCTCACGAGCAAGGAAGTAGCGAAGAGCAATGTGCTTCGTTCTGTGCTCCAGTCTGTGCTCCCGACACAAGGCCAGCATGGCCTTGTTGTCTACGTACAGAACTGGAGGAGAACGAGGCGGCTCTCCTAAGTCAGTCAGCAGGTAGGTGAGCCAGCGTAGCTCCTGTGCAGCCATGGCCCCCGCGTAGATCTCAGCCTCACAGCTGGAGCCGAGAACAGAGGACGAGCGAGTAGACCGCCACGAAACAGAGCCGGAGCCAAGGCTGAAGGTGTAACCCTGTGACGACCGCTGCGTAGCCTGGTCGTCAGCCCAAGAAGCGTCTGCGTGACCTGTGAGGACCACTCGACGTCGCCCTCCAAGCACTAGCCCCAAGCCCGACGTACTGCACAAGTAGCGCAACACCCTCTCCGCTGCAGCCATGTGCTCTGGTCGGTGTCTACCAGGAGCAACATAACGTGCCAAGATGCTAAGAGGGTATGCAAGGTCAGGTCGTGTGCAGGTCATCAGGTACATGAGGCAGCCAACAAGCTCTGGGTACGGGCCACTCGGCTCTACGAACTCATCCAAAGGCAGAGCTGAGAGCGAGTGACAGGTAGACAGAGGAGTGGCCTGAGGCGAGGAGTACGTGAAGTCGAAGCGCTGAAGGACCTGCTGCACCATGTGTGACTGAGTCAGGGTAATGGTGCGCTGTGCTCTGTCCCGGGTGATCTGCAAGCCAAGGTAGCTGCGCAGTTCACCCAGGTCTGTGCACGTGTGTCTCTTCTGCAGCTCGGACTTCACGTGGGCGAGTCCAGCAGTGTCAGCAGTGGCAAAGACCAAGTCGTCGACGTACACGAGGATGTAGAACGGCGGCAGAGAGGTGTCGGTGCGCAGAAACAGCGACGGGTCGGCTGTAGAAGGAGCAAACCCAAGAGCCGCAAGTGTAGTCCTCAGTGTGTCGTGCCACTCACGGGGCGCCTGGCGGAGACCGTAGACTGGCCGCCGGAGACTCCACTGGGTACCAGGAGGAAACGACCCAGTGAAGCCAGGTGGGCGGCGCAGCCAGATCTCCTCGTGAAGGCTGCCCTGCAGGAAAGCTGTGCTGAAGTCAAGAGAGTGAAGCTCGTAGTCGCGCTGAGCGGCTATGTGCAGCAGCACCCGAAGAGTGGTCATCTTCGGGGTGGGAGAGAAGGTCT